CCACACACCCACACCGGCCACCCACACCTCCCACCTCGTTATTTGATCTCAGTTGTTTCCTTGGATAGTAGTAGTAACTTTTGCCAATTTTGATTTAAAGTAAATCTAAATTGTATTTGATATAATAGTTGCAGTTTATTCAAAGTAGATAGAAGCAGTAACGCCGCCCTAAAATCCTATAGTTCAACAAGAACTTCCTTTGAACCCACCATGAAAGAACAAACAAGAAATTGCCACTTCAATAAAAGGGAATCTCTGACGGACGTATTGTCAATAAATAATTTCTTTAACGGAGGGTTTAAATTGCTACTTCAAAACAGTGAAATTTGAGCTAGCCAAGCTACCTTTTCCTTTTACTTTAATATTGCTAGATATAGGTGCTCAATAGACTTACCTCCACATGGTGCACCCTGGGCAACGTATACTTATGCGGCAAAATCCTATTGATCGGCAGTTGACTTCTGACTTCAAACTTTTATGGCCCGACTATTTGTCATATTCGACCCCTTTCGCAGTACTCATCTTACCTTTTTTATGTCTTTGTGTCCGTCTGTCTGTCTCTTTTACCTCTGTGAATAATTATTCTGTCTTTCATCTCGACTTTTTGCCACTTTGATGTTCCTTCTCCTCTCTGTGAAGCCCCGAAGTCAGCTCCAGGGCTAATGGTAACTTTCAAAACGCCTGCCATTTTATATAAATATATTGCTAGATATCGATCTTTAAAGGTCTTTAATTTTTGAAAACTAGGGGTGCCCAATAGCCTTACCTCCACGTGGTGCGCTCTGGGCAACATGTACTTATACGGTAAAAAAGGTCTATTGATCGGCAGTTGACTTCTGACTTCAAACTACTATGGCCTGATTATTTGTCATATTCGACCCCTTTCACAGTACTCGTCTTACCTTTTGTATGCCTTTGTATCTGCCTGTCTGTCTCTTTTACATCTGTTAATCACTCTTCTGTTCTCCATCTCGACTTTTTGTCACTTTGATGTTCCTTCTCCTCTCTGTGAAGCCCCGAAGTCAGCTCCAGGGCTAATGATAACTATCAAAACGCCTGCCATTTGATATAAATAAATAAATTTTTGAAAACTTGTTCCTGGCAAGTGCCTGTTATAGTAAACCAGAAAAAATTTACATGTACCTTAACGCTTGAATTTACTTCTAAGTACCTTTCAGATAACTTCAGATTACTACGCTTTAAAGGTTTTACAAGATACAATACGTCATAATCTCTGCTTTTTTATTTGTTAACAATGAGCAAAAGCTAAAGCTTAAATTTTATACCTGTTGTTATTCTCTCTAACAATTCAGAAAGTCCACGGCGTTTGTATTTATTGCTATAACCTTCAAAAATTGTCCTTTTTACAAAACAACAAATATATTCCTTTACTTGAAATGTAAAATGTTCATATTGACAAGCTTTGAACGTGACTGAGCGCGTGAAACAAAGGAGTAAGATCACGAATTCTAAAGCTACTTATCTTTTATAATTTATTCGAAAGTGGCATGCATTACTGTGCTAGTTTACCAAGGGTTCAAATTTCAGAATATAATCTCTGAGTAATCGAGTGAATTGGTATCTCCGACAATTAAGTAGGGTGGTTGTTTGTGTCATTTTTATCAAAGTATTAATAGTTAAAGAAAATTTGCGTTACTTTAAGAGATTGTCTTATATTATTTCATAGGCCATTATGATCACTGAATACCTGTGGATTTAAAAACCAATTATAGCAGTGTAAAAGAAACCAATTTCTTCGAGACTGATAATTCACTTTCAGGTAAACTTTCGAGTAGACTAATCAAGACGGGAGGCATCAATAGATCCAGTTAGTTAGGTAAATGAATGATGCAATTGAATAGGCTGATAGTGTTTGGAAAAGCAAGGTCATTAAAGTGAACTATACTACCAGTAGAAGTAAATTAGTTTTACTGTAAAGAAGATAGGAGATATTTGGTTATGAATCCTAATTCGCATTAATAAATATGAAACCTGAACTTTCATGTAGCTGACAAATTAACAACCAAAAGAACTACAATTGCAAGTGTTTCCATAATAGATTAGCACATTTTGATGAAAAATACGTGGTAGAGATAAAGACCAAAGAATAATATTTTCGTTATGAAAAGGCACAACTTCTATTTTAAGTCGTTTCAACGTATTCAAACCATTATCATAATTTCATATATGAAATAGTTGGCATATTCATAATAAATATATTTGTGTGAAGGGGAAAAGATGAAAGCTTAAGAAAAATTTCATTTGATAATGAAACATTTCTCTAATAAACAAAAAACATGCGTAGCTGATATTAATATAAATATTACATAGTACAAAGCTGAAAAATGATTATCATAACCACGGTCAAAAGGAATCGGTTGATGAAAAGTAATATAAAAGTTAAGTTTACAGCTACATAGGCTCATATTATGATTTCCTATTTCTAAAACAATAAAGAATATATAATCATCGGCATTCCCAATAACATATATTTCAACTAAGTCTAGATAAAAGCCAACGTTTGAAACTAAGATAAATGTAAGGCGAAGTTGAAAAATCACCGAAAAGAATAAATTTCAGTAATCGAATTAAAGTTTATATCTAAATAAAAGGGGTAACTCTTTTCAATCAATACAATTTCCAATTCAATTATTTAACAAATATGGGACTGATATGCCATAAGAATAAATGCATTAAAGTAATAAATACGCAAAACGATGTGATTTTATTATTAATACAACTCTCCTGAAATTAAAAATACAAATTGTTTTTATGAATAATTATATGTCAAACAACCTACCGGTCAAAGCGACTGAAGCAAAATCGGGTGTATTAACTGTGAATAACTCCAGGTCGGTCACATGTTGTGATGTTAATATGATTCCTTTCCCTCTACTATTATATTAGGTCTTTCTGAAATAACTAATCGCGTTTTTTCTTTCATTTATAGTTTAATGAATAAAAGTGAAGTCCTTGCATGCTCTTTTGAGTCCTGGTATCCCAAATTTAAAGAAAATACCATTAAAAGGTATTTTATTGTCAGTAACTTAACATTAAGTTTAGTGTTATGATCGACCTACCTGATGAGGTGTTGGATTATATTAAGAATGCTCCATTAGTCCTTCCAAAAAAGTAATGCTTCATAATGATTTAAGATTGTATCCTAGTGCTGTTTCAGTTGTAGCTGAGCGAGATGAATTTTCGGATGATTCTGATGAGGTATTTTTTCAACTCATTCATTAATTCTCAGTATAGAAATCCTGGTCAGATGAAGAGGAAGGAGAAGAGCTGGAAGAAACGTTTTTTCCTGAATTTGAAGAAAATGTGAATAAGATTATTGAAGATTTAAATGGGGAAGTATTTCCCAAATTCAATTGGAGTTCTCCGAAAGATGCAGCCTGGATAAATTTCGGGTCTACCCTCAAATGCACTAAGGCTAGTGATGTCCTTGTCCTGCTTAAAGCATCTGATTTTGTTGGCTATGATATCTACAAACCGTAGGTTTGCTTTTGGAGCCAATTATTTTTTTCTATAATTTAGCTTCTTCCACTGTACTAAACCAAATGAAAAGGACTCAACACATCCCATAAAGTTGGTTCTTCGTCAGTGGTATCCAATCAGGCCTGATGGTGAATTTCGCTGCTTCATTCGCTCTAATCATTTAGTCGGTAGGTACCTTCTAATTCTTGCTAAATTCCAATTCCGGTTAATTCCGCACAATATTAAGCTCTGTATAATATTGTCTTCTCTCAAGATTGCCTCTTAGATATTTTTATGTTATCTAAAGAATAGACTTACGAATCTTCGATTTTTCAAGGTGCATTGGCATTTTCATGTCGTTATTAAGTCATTGTACGTGTTGAACCTCTCTTCTAACTGTTGACACAGTAGGGCTGTTATTTAGTTACCTCATGGACATCCCAGTTAGCAATGGATTGCTCTGATTGAATACTCTACACTATCCTTTGAAATTCTTTATTCGATACAAAAAACTGCTGGAATATTTTGGAGCCTGTCAATATTTATTTACTCTCTATAGCTATCTGCCAACGTCACTATGATTCCTACTACAATTTTATCGAGACCGAAAAGAATAATATCAAGGAAGCAATCAGCAAATTTTTCGAGCGAAATGTCAAAGGAAGGTTTCCACTTGAAAATTGTAAGTCATTCTCTTTCCTATATTCCTGATATTTAGATGTAATGGATGTTTACGTCAACTATAAGGTAAGGTGTATATATGCATATCTTATTACCTGACGTCTTTAGTTCAAGTCTTCCAAATGTGTGATATTGATTGACTTCAACGTATATGGTCCACCTACTGACGGGTTGTTGTTTGAGTTTGATGAGGTAGACAAACTTCCCCTTGACAATGATGTGGAATTTCGTTGGCAAAAGGATAAGACCCTGCGATCTGGTGTCTTCTCTCAGTACAAACTCCCGATTGACTTGGTCGATATTTCCGCCGGTAATGATCCCGAAAAACTTATGGATCTAATACAAGCGGTAAGCTAATTGATGATTTCAAAATGTTATTTTTTATCTTGTTCTTGTTCCGGAGGTGTAGCAGCTAGTTTATGTTAACCTCTACCAAGTCAACTGTCAAGTTCGTTACACACTGGCACATATCGAATGAACTGTATGTGTTGCTAATTGGAGATGCTTTTTCTGGAAAGCATGCTGTGAGAAGATTTTAAACGAAAGCTTGCGAAGATCATGCTAAGTTGTTGTCCTTTTAAGCTTCTATAGACGTAGGCCTTTATATTCATATTGGAAAAGCAGCGGGTTGAGGTGTACATTAATTTAAAAATATCCTTTAACAACTTAATAAAGAGTGAGCTGTTTCATTTTATTTATGTAGTAATAGTATTTTAACTCGTACAACAGTGGATTACTTATTTCTTCTATTTTAGTATGCTGAAGAACAAAAGGAGGAGAAATAAGAATTCCCCTGTACTTGACTTGGATAACTTTGTACATACCGACCTTCCTTTTTATGAAGAAGAAAATTAAATCTAACAACTATCAAAATTTAATGGCATCCGGTTCAATTGAATAAAAGTTACTTTCTCTAATGCATATGATCTAAAATATCAGGACTTTTTTTATTTGTTGGAAAAAATTGCACGATCCATTTTTTGGTTGTTTGTGATAGTAAAATTGTATGAAATAATGTGTCTTTAGGCCCAGCTGTCCTAGAAAAAACCAACGTTTTGTTTTTTTCATTGTGACAAAGTCTTATTTTCAGTAGGGATGTCCAACAATGCTCTGGAGTTTCAGGAAGTGCAGCATCGACCACACGCCATTCACATGCTAATCTCTGTCGAGTTCATTCGCCATTTACCGATTGGTCCGTTGCTTGACCAATCGTGCTCTATTTCACTATACATGAAATCCTATTAACAGTTTTAGTTCATTTTATCTTCTTCAGCCAATAAAAACTCAATTTATTGGCGTAAGTTATTTTCACGTTATGCCAGTAAAGAACTAAGGTGGGAAAACTTAAGCTCTTTTCTTGGATCTAATTAAGTGTAGCATACAGATGTTTTAATTCGAAAATAAAACACAACAGAGCAAAAGTAGTTAAGAGATTTTGCTCTCATTCAGTCTTTCCAGACATTATGTCTGTTTATTTGCAAGTACACACACACACAATCAGTTAATATGTACAGACAAGGCCTCGTCTATTTTAATCCCCTTCCATTGCCACTTCCTCAACTACACCTTGATCAGGATGCGACCCCGGCGGCGCTAGTCCAAATCGATCCATCAACTCTCGTATCCATGGTGACAGGGGTTTGGGGCGATGTGAGATAGGAGCTTTTGACCTGACAGGATCTGAGAGACAAGAGGCTTCGGCATGAGCGAAGACTATTCGTCGTTCGGATGGATGGATTGATGAGAGGGACTCGATAGTGTGATCTGGAGATACTAGGACCTCGTTGGTTGCTCGAGTTGTACCATCTTTAGTTGTCTGGCGAGCCCATTTTAAAATTACACCGACTATCTTTCGAATCTAAAAAAGAGAATTAATAATAAATTTCATTTAACCAATTGGTTGAAAGCCATGTATTGCAACCAGCAAATATGGACATTTAAGACAATTTTACAAATATGCTAAGCTTTTACTTATGACGATCAAATTCCACATATACTGATTTGTGCCTACATTCATACAATAGAAACATTTGAGATAATGTAGAAAATCACAAATAAAAAGAACACGCCGAATTAAGCCTATTTAAAGATCTTAAATTGCAAAAATGAATTGAATATTCTGATAATGCCTACAGCGGTGTATCAACGCGTTACGCTAACATTGCCTAGCTTGACCTCGATGTCTAATATCAGAATGAAGTAACTCAACACCTTCCAACTTGACCTGACCCAAAAATGATTTTAATGCATATGCAATCCTAAAAATCTGAAAGTGAACTGTAATTCCGTTAAGAAGGTTTACTAACAGAACAGAAGTGCATCAACATGGGGTTCCTCGATGACAGACTCAGATTCTGGCAAAACATGTATATTTGCCCGATGTAACCATAACGGTCGGTCACTCTGCTCCCTAGGCATCGGAGTTAAATTTCTCAAAAAATGAACCCTTTTTCTCACCTGTTTGAACACACTGCTCCTCTTAATAGAGCTATGGGGAAATAGCTTAAAATTAAAGGAAATGATGATCGATCCAACTCGTTAACAATGCTAGCCAGTAAATTTAGGTCATGATAGCGAAACCAAAATGCTGCAGGGGAATAGATATAAATCCGCATTTTACAGAACCCCATAGATAAAGCACCTTTCTGCGAGTTAATTAATTAAAAAAGAGGATAACTAGGCATAAAGTCTTCAAATTAATGGTAAAGGAAGGTGTGGAGAAAGACAAAATGTTGGTTAAGATTTTCAACTTCAGGCCTTAAATGCCAAATGAAACCGAATTATGCACAACTCAGTCTTGTAGCCCGAAATAACCCCTATTTTACTTTACGGAATATACCTTAATAAACGTTAATTTTTCTACCAAACATGTTTATCTCATGATCATACCGTTTTGTTGCGATTACAAAAACTTAAATCCTTAAAGTAGCCGCAATCTAATAAGCCTTACCAACTCAATATAAGCAAACTTTTAAGATTAGCAAAAAGAAGCAGAAACTTACCAAAGGAGATTCATGGCTTCTCAAGAGCTGGAGTTCCCAAAGGGAAGCACTGGCTGGTCGTGCAACTTCTGGGTCGATAGCTTCAGGGTCGTAAACACCTCCAATCTCTGTTTCGGAATCGAAAAGCACTTCACACTTAGGGAAGAGGCTGAGGAACTTCCACAAACTTACAAGCATCGAGGCCAGACAGGCTGTATCAGTCTAGGCGGGGAGTAAAAAAGTGATAAGATGAGCTCCATAAATGGAAATGTCGCTCTACACACGTTGTGCTCATCCCTCAGCACGAATTTCTTTGAAGTTACCACATACGCTTTTAGGATGCTCAAGAGATCTTACCAATTCAAATAAACTCATTGACCGCACGAAACAGGACGCAGTAATAGAAGTACACAAATACTTAACAAATCAAATCAATGATGCTATGTATTCAATAGTTATGATTGTCCTTCACTTAGAGTATGTTAAGGCAACTTCAAGAATATTAGCTGATTTGAGAACTACACTTTACATTAATAGATGCAAATAATTTTGTTTGAAATCTACTAAATTATTGTTAATGAATTCGAACAATTAAACTGGAAATAGAAAACGAGCGAATTATCGAAAAACGATTAGCCTATCAGAATAAAAGATACTAACTTGGATTAACCCACGAAAAAGTTGAAGGTAACTGGCAATCTATCCAAAGTTCTTCGTAGTATCCAATTTAATTATTGTTAAAACAAATCTATCTAGAATAAAGACGTACAACAACCAGAGAGAGGAATGAAAGACGCTTAACGAAGGCCAGAACACGAGTGATGGAGACCTCACGACGACGAGAGATGAGAAGCATGTCCAGGCAAGAGAGTATAACATCCACATAACGCTCCATGTTAGATGTACTCGTCAGTCGTATTGGCGATGAAGGAGACTGATCATTGTTACTAAATAAAAATAGTTTATTTTCAGACAGTAAACTGAGGAGAACTATTTGGAAAAACAGATTTACTAAGAGTTTCTGTCAGGACAATTCTTTGCAGGAAGTCAAAAGTGACACTTACCTCACTTCAGACGGTTTCAAAAGTTGCTCTCTCTGAGCTAGCTCTTGTGCTGCCAAAGCTGCAGGAGTTCTAGCCCAAGAGTAATGCAGAAGTTTGCCGTAAGGTCCCCTTGAATCTGTATCTGTGGGAGCGTTCGAACACACAGAAACACCCGCCATTCGACCTAACAACGCGTAAAGGTGGTTAGAAAAGCGCGTTGGATCAATCCTCAAAATGGATGCGGCAGTAGAGCAATTGAGAATTGTCAATGCCGTATGGACTGCATGTAAGCCATCCTCTAAGCCGGTTTTCTACGACCATAATAAAAGCGAATTACATTCAGGCTGATAATAAGGAGACGATTGATTTTCTTTATCAGCTTACCGGATTCGCCACGAAAGAACTCATCAACTGAAGGAGATTTTCAACATATTCCACGTTAATAATATGTGCATAACTAAATTGGGATTTAATATGATATTAATATTCGCTCACGTTGAAAGACCAGCTAAAACAGCAGAGAGAAGTTCAGAATCTTGAGTTGATTTGAGAATCGTAAAGTAAATAAAGAGGATCTCTTTCAAAATTTGCGTGTTCTAGAAGAAAGGCTAATAATGGTATGGGGAAAAAGAAACAGACCATTTTGATTCTCTCCTCGTGCGAGTGGGAGGCCTTGGTTTCGGCCTGATCCTTTTCAAACTTGGCCAACAATTTGTCCTTCTGAAATGGGGGCAGTGAAACAAAAGCTAGAAATGTATGCGCCAAAAATATGGCAAGAAATGACATTGCATAGGAAACACAGTTCCGGGACACTTATAATTGACTACCTTTAACCAGAATGGTCAGCAATTCAGTTTAAGGAAAAATCAAATTGGAGGCATACGTACAAGTTAACACTATGCAAAAGATACAAATAATAGATAAGGAAAACTGGTACATATAAACCAATGAAGGAAAACTGAAAGTCAATAATTACATATAAAGGCAACACCTGCATTTAATTGCAATAGATTCAAGAAAGAAAACAATAATAAATCGATTATCATACTAAATTATGACTCAAAAAGTAAAGGGGCTTAGTTAAAGCAAGGTAATAGAAGAAACATATTTCTATTAAAACATGATAAAGAAAAGAAGACATGGAAAAATACCTTGCGTTCCTTCCTAGAAGCGAGTTTACGATCCCTTTTGGAGGTCTGAGAAGTATTATTAGAATCTAAAACTTCCTTGAGCGATATACCAGCTATGACTTTTGCTAAATCCGACCGAATTCGGTATTTTACATTTCGAGCAACTCTATGTATCGCTTGGCAAATCTAAAAATGACCAGAAGTATGAAACCACATACCATAAGTGTAGCTTCCCCAGTTAAATCCGAAGCAAAAATACTCCTCAAGCAATTGAAAATAATCTGTCGAACTTCTGGCGAATTTGACCGTTGAAGGAAGGGGATAATTGCATTGAGAAGATTCTTAGAAAAATTAAAAAGCGGACTGTTCTCAAAAAGCGCGCAGGCGCATTTTAATGCACTAACGATTTCTGGTTTAGTCCAATCCTGATGATAAACAGACCGTAATTTCTTCGGTATCTGTTTATTTGCAACATCTATTAAAAATGTTAATAGAAGGCACAAATTTACTTTTCAAGATTGTTCGAAGAAGAATGGTATAGGCTTCATAGTTCTTCAGTAAAATGTCTTCATATCTCCACAACCTTTTCGTCTCTTTCTTAACCTAAAGCAAGATTATATTTGTTACCAATGCACTACCCTTTGATGTAGTTCCTCTTCGGTTGGGAGACGAATTCTGTAGGCCGGAAGAATGTCTTTGAATACAACGCATAAGGATGCTACAAGAATCTGGCGAAGTGACGCAGTTCTCATGAAAAGGGGATCATGAGAAAGTCGTATCAAGTCTCGAAGTCTTCCAATCTAATAAGGTAAACAATAATAAGTGTCTTACGTTTTCATTGGGATCTTGCATCAACGAAGATGAAAAATTTGCTATTTTTAGTTTGCATTCTTGAATATATTTGCGCTTATTCAGCAATTTTTGTACCGTGCTAGAAGCTACAACATCCTCGTGCAAAGCCATAATTCGCAGACACGAATGACCCTAAGCGCCCGCGATTATTTTAAATCAAGTAAAACTAATTTTGTCCTAATCAAATTTTAAAGAAAAAACAATATAATCTACTGTGGCATTTTAAAATTTTTATGCTTTTTAAATATAAACATTAATTTTAATAAAGCTAATTCAAATTATTTCCCACTAATTTGAATGGGTGTGAGATGAGTACATATAACATGGACTATTACTCCCCTCTTTTCACGTCTTTATTTGCTGCGGGTGCTGGATTCATAGCAGGATGGTATTTCCGAAGAGGATGTCCTTCTAAACGTGCTCTTATGAAGATGAATTGCCAGATTAGCGACAAACAAAAATTAGTTCTAGTCGTTCGAAATGACCTCAAAATGACTCAAGGGAAAGTTGCCGCCCAGTGTTCACACGCCACTCTTGGTTGCTATCAAAAGGCAATTGAACAGTGTCCAGAAGCTACTGAAGCTTGGGAATCTACTGGGCAAGCGAAGATTGTTCTTCGAGTCCCTGATTATCCTTCATTGTAACCACTTATTGACTTTTTTAATCCAAGTTTAGAATACAACTTCAAAAGGCAGCTCGCGACATTGATTTGCCTCACTGCCTTGTTCACGATGCTGGGCATACACAAGTCCCATCTGGGACTGCTACTGTTTTAGGGATTGGACCAGGTAAGAATTTGTTCTTTAATTGTCATTTCTTTTTAGCCCATTGTGAACTCATTGATAGTATTACCGGGCATCTTAAATTGTATTAATTTGCCCTTTTTGCCAACAATCTGTGTAATATTAAAATACCAATATATTCTTCTTAACTCATGCCTTGTACTTAGTGTATGTTTGCATTTCCTACTTTTGATTTAAAAGTAGCAATTTAATAATGTGTTTTGGTCAAGGTCATCTTCCACTCAAAATCGAGACAGACCTGGCTATGTTCTTTGCCAACAGTAAATGAATTATCAGTTCCTAGGTAGGTTAAATAATTTTAAAATCAATGACTTCTAATCACTATTCGCACTCTCAGTTTCATATTCATGGCAGCTCTTAAATAATTTCTTAGATATGATACATTAAATGGGTTTTAATCCCGACCTTAGAGTTATTAATTATGGAATTCATTCTGTTTGGCTTGTGGATATGTTTTTCAATCGACCAGGTCATTGTGGAGATTTGGAGTCTTATTAATATATAAAAAATTAAAAAGGCTTGTTGGCTATTTCTGTAGTAGGTACGGGTGTAAGGCTAATTGTGGGAAAGCATTAAACAATTCTAAAATACGACTGAAATATTGGGTGACCGTTGCTAGGATCGAATTTCTCCTTATCTGTGGTGTCCACAACGGATTTATCTGTTCATGCTGACATGTCTCAATAAACTCTATGGATACCTCTTTTACAAGCATACACTTGGTCTGCTGCATTCACTCTCGAACACCCACAGTTGTTATCTGGTCGTAGGGAAGATGGGTAATGAGATTGAAGTCAGAGCTTGGGGAACAACTATTTGGAAATCAGATTACTTAAATCCTGATCCAGCATCCTACAAAAGTGCTAAGCCGCCACTGAAATTGGGGATTTTCTCGTACTCGCTCTTCAGCATTTTCTGGACATGTGCTTAAACCTCAAATTCTGTCCTTTCTTAATCGAATACAATGCTCCAAAGTGACTCTTTAAAGCAGATTAGTATCACACGTAGTGTTAGGTTCCAGGATGCTATTGTGATCGGTGGCAGTTGTAATTGTTTTTAATAAAATTCCAATATGGAGTAGGACTTGGATTTATTAGCCATTCAAGCGCGTGGAAACCGACTAACTTTCTCTTTATGTAAGACCTTTCTTATCAAAATCTCCCCTAATACTGCACTCCACATCAGACGTGACTTTATGTACTTTCCTTCTGGTTCCAAACATACATTTCGGTCTAGGAAATCTGTGTATATGTTTCATATCACTCCAAAGGCAAAAGCGTAATCCCATGGTTCACATTCTAGAATTATTCAAGAAGGCTTCTGGTCGTTTGCTACTAGACATCCTGCATATTATTGTGGGACATCGGCTTAGCGTGGACGTCAACACTTATTCAATCCGTGACCTTCACATGCGTGTATATTAGCAGTAGCTTCTTTAAAACTCTTCTAGGCCCAACTCTTAGTGTCATATCCAGAGTATAATCTTTTCACCACAAGTATGCTGTACTAGAGTTATCGAATATTACCTTGAAGACAAGAGTGGCTGATTTTACAAGTGCCAATACCGACCAACAAGCTCTTAAAACAAACACGTTCCAAAATCCAAAGCTTAAAGGTGCTAAATGTAGCCATAAATCTTTTACTTACATCGGATTAGAATGTTTAAGACTTTGAGACTATCTTTATTTCTTCAATAATAATTTTCGCTGCTTTGTAAACATCATTGAATGAATTGTAGAGAGCGAATGGGGCCAGACGAATGTAGCAAGGTTTTCGAGTATCACAGATAACTCCGCGCATGATTAATCTCGAATAGAGCTCCTCGACATCCACGTTAGTTTTAATCGAGATTTGTGATCCCCTATCATTTAGAGATGCTGGTGATATCAACTCTAAGCCCAGTTCTTCAGCCTCAGGCCCAGTAGTTAGCAAAGATACAAAGAATTGAGTTAGTTTGGCCGACTTTTCAACGAGTGCCTTCATTCCGCCAGCTTCTTGGAAGATCATTAGAGAGGAAGTCAACGCAGAGTTTAGAAGCATAGAAGGACAAGATCGTCGATAGGAATCTGCACCACCTTCCACCTCCATAACATTTTTCATTTGGAAACGGGTTGAATAACGATGACCCCACCAACCTGTTAACTCTGGACCGTAAGCGTATTTCTTCGTTGGAGCAAACTCTCCATTACTCATGTGGTGTTTTTCATGCACGAATATTCCTGCACAGCCTCCTGGACTTCCACAGAGATACTTGTAGCCACACCAAGCGGCAAAGTCCACATCCCAATCGTGGAGTTGTATTTCAACATTGCCAACAGAATGGGCTAGGTCGAAACCAATTGGGCATTTAGCGACTTCATGAACATGTTGGGTAATGAAAGGAATATCCAACTTTTGTCCAGTTAAGTAAGATACACCGGGAAGCCAAACTAGAGCCAGCTCATTAGCATTATTTGTAATTACCTCAGCAATCTCCCATTTTGTCAAGTAATTTCCCTTTGGACGAAGATCTATTTCAATCAGGGAGGATTTTTCAACCCCTCTAATATGCATCTGTGACTCTACAGCGTAGTAATCAGACGGGAAAGCGTTTTTTTCTATCAGTATTTTATTCTTTAAACCGTCAGGCTTGTAAAAAGCAGCCAGAAGGGTGTGAATGTTGGAAGTTAAGCTTTCCATTACAGCAACTTCATCTGGTAAGGCACCAACGACGTGTTCAGCAAGAAAATTCTTTGGTTTAATATCTGAGGCCTCAGTAGGGGAGACGCCATGAGTATGACTAAGCACTCCAAGAACCCTCCAAGACTCCATTACTTTCTCCAAGTTTTCTTTAGTCGACTTTGGCGGTAGACCTAGAGAGTTTGTACAGAGGTAAATGACCTCAGTATTGTTGTTACATTCTTCTTCGCCTAAATGTTTCTTGAGCTCACCAATTGTTGGGATTTGAAACTTGCTTCGGAAGTTCTTTAGGGGGTCATGTTCGTCAAGATAATCGGCCATTTCCTTCGTTTTCTCCATGATTTAGTGAGAGACCACGTTGCGGCAAACACTTAATTCTGCATTGGATCAGTAATTTCTAATTGGCTTGACAATCGGCCAATAAAATCGCTTGCACCCAGCATTTGTGTGAGCCGTCAAATTGACATGACTTTCATGCTGCATATCTGATATCACTTATGAACCAGAGTATAATGTGCTATTTCAATGGAAATGGTCAATTTTAAAAGTGAATAAGTTCAAAGCGATGTTTAGCAATGGTGAAACCGTATTAACTTAAGTCAAAGGCTGCTAATATTAATGTGTAAACTAGGCTAATGTACGAGGTTTTTAAACCGTATTAAACTTTCTAAATGCCAAAAAAAGTTGCAGGGAAGAACTATTATTGCCTAAACACTGTGTGCATGTCTGCTTTTCTTAAACATTGGAAAACCACATGAAGGATCATTGACATATAAAATAGTAAACCTTTGGCTTAACAGGTATATCTTTGGTAATAACGCATCCGTTCTCTCCTGAAGCGTAAATTACCACTTCGAAGAATTCGATCGATAACATAAACATAGGAAATAAACCAGCGGCGCTATTGTCGAATGCGTAGTCTTATAAAAGACATGGGTTGTTGAAAAACCATATTTTGGAATATCATCAACTTCGACTCAAATGATTCTCTTCTAAGTATCATCCACAAAGCAGCACATTTTATTCTGACGAAGTGCAAGACTTCAATTCCATGAATCAAATGTAAATGTAAACCTCATTGTCTGGATATTGTAATGTAGTCTAACTTCAAACTACTATGACCCCACTGTATGTCACACCCGATCACTTTCACAGTACTCACCTCACCTTTTCACTGCCTTTGTGTCTGTCTATCTCTTTTACATCCTTGAATCACTCTTCTGTCCCCTCTCTCTGTCAGTTCCTCCTCTCTATGAAGTCCGTAGTCAACCAAAGGGCTAATGATAGTTATCAAAACGCCTGCCATTTGAAACAAATAAATTTCACTGAATATGCGTTAACGAGCGATAACTCGCAAGAGCCAGCTGTACTTCCCTTCATATCTGGCCAGTGGGTGCGATTTCAACTCCATCATATCTACCAGAATACTTTTAATTGATTATTCGAAATGGTATAAGGAAGTAGTAAAGAAATTTTTGGAAGTTGCAGAAGTTAGATATTAAATATTAAAATCCCTCCCCTCCCCCTCTCAATAGTTCACTCTCCGATTTTTATCATATAACGACCTTACATTATATTTTTTATATTAGAAAAGCACTAACTAAAGTGTGTGTACCACATGGTTATTTAAAATCGTCATAGAAACATATTCGACAGGAATTTGTGCTTATTTGATTCCAAAAACCTGTGGGACACGTTATCGCTGTGTGCGTCATCGTATGCCTGCATGTCTGCTCGCCAGGATTGGGAGGTGCGGCCGTACAAACAATGACCAATCATCAACCTCTGTTTAACCTAATCCCCACCGTACAAACAGTGACCACTAGCCTCTGTTTGTTTGACCTAATCCGCCATCCTGATCATGATTAACCTCTGTTTAACCTAATCCCTCATCCATCCGTGATCAATCATCAACCTCTGTTTAACCTAATCCCCCATCCTGATCTGAGGTGAATAGCTCCTTTATCCGCAATACCCGTGCTGAATAAACGTGCTCCATGCTACACGTCTGTTTCCTTTATAGTTGGGCTATAGCTTAGCTGATTCTGGGAGTCTAGCTAGATGTTGGAGAATCTGCCATGGAGATTTCTGAGTCAGTCAGGCTTTACTAAAGTAGCAATCCGCTACAAGCCACACCAACTAAGCGTCGTCTGAGTGCGTGCTTTATATTCGCAGACGATGCTCTGGTCAATAAACTCACAGATCGTCTCAATAATCAGCTTAATTGTAGAAGGTCTTCTTCCTTCTTGGTGGTTTTAATTGCATTTACTATCAAAATTAAGATTAAAAAGGCAGGCATGTTGGTGACAGTTTATCATAGATTACAGGAAATAACCATTCTAAATGTAAATAAAATTATTTATAAAACTAGTGCACGGCATGTCAGGAATCTTAGTCTTAGGTCAGAGATCTGTCTAGGGCCTTGGAGTTGATACTAATTAAAATCCGTTTAGCGACCGCAATTACGCTATTTAGCGATGGCAGACAGAACGAGAGTCGTCTAATTGAGAGGACCCTGGATGCTGCAAAAGAGTGTTAGAAAAATCGATTACTTTATCTTTATTTATTTATTCATATCAAATGGCAGGCGTTTTGATA